CCGCTAGAGAGTGTATGATTATTGATTTGGAGCACCTAGAGCCGATCGCAAGCATGTTGTTTCAGCTCGTTTTTCATTAGTCATCAGTGTTTCCCTCCTTTGTAGGCCCTAAAAATGTCGTAGGCCCTACCTCCAGTGCCTAATGGGAAATCCGGCCCTGGAGCAGTTCACACAGAAGAAGGATCTCTCTCGGATTTCATTTCATTGTCCCCTTAGATTAGCCTCCGGACAGTTTGCAGCTTTTGTGGGTTTTTTTTTTTGCTTTTCCTGTTTCACCTCTCTTTTATACTCACCTGAAGAAGGCTTCACAGTCAAAACGTCGTAGGGTTTGCCATTTCTTTTTTCTGTTCGGTGTAGAATCAGCCAATTGTTTGTTTAAGAATGAGTTGGGAGGCCTTTCGCTCAAAATCTCTTGCTGTTTTCCAACCTCTACACACATCCTCTCTGACCGTGTGTCAAAATAAGGAGACCTCGAACAGAAACGGCTAAGCTGCTAATGTAGAGTTCCAGTGCCCTCTCGTGGTCATATCATATTAAGCACATCAAGTGTGCATGAGGGGATGTGTTTGATGAAGAGAGTTCATCAAACCACCCCATTAAGTACCTACCTGCAGTGCAGAGCAGTGTGAGCCTGCAAGTCAGGAGGAAGTCTTTATACTGCATCTGGAAAAAATTAAGTATTGCCACAAAACTAAACTTCCATTGTATTTCATCTTAGAATTAAAAAAAATGTTGTACAATGTACAGTGTTTTTCACTGGGGGGCTAAGGCACAACGACCCAGTGTTACATACTGTAGCTACACAGTTTGAACCCGGTCGGTACAAAGACAGGCGAAGGCGGGCAAATTAAACTGAGGCAAAATGCTTTGAAAGACCTTCCACTGTGTTTCGTTAAACGTGGTGCCTTTGCAGAGAGTTTGTCTCTTGTTCTTTACAAACACACTCAAGGGGGGAAAAAAATATGGCCCTTTTGAACCGTTACACAGAACCTAATAAAGAAACTCCACCAAGCAAGACAGTTTAGTGTTCTTGCAATCAGGGAAGATAAATAAGAGGAAAGTGTGGTTTCACACAAGTGGTAAGTGTACTTCCCAAAGAATTTCAAACAAAGTACAGCTCAGTTCTCTTGGGACAAGTCATTCGTAGTAACTAGAGCTTAAAAGCAAGGGGTTCTCTTTCACTGGGAACTTCAAAGGATCCTGGAAACTATTAAAGACACAGCCGGTTTAGACTCCCTAAAAAATGAACTGTCCCCAGTGTTTAAGGTACTGAGGAATTTAGCTCACAACAGTGAGTACTGTGTTTCTGATCAGATTCAATCTGTCGTGAATGAAATAAAAATAGATTAACAACCCCCACACCTCTGTCATATAAAACGGTACCGTACAGTGGTACAAACAGCGTGTGTGAGAGTACACCAATGTGACATCTGACAATTGGCGTCATTTTTAGTGGAAATAAACATGTCATACCGTGGTAAGACTCACAGGTCACTGGGTCAGTCCACACTGGCTGTTCTTTCAGCAGATGTGAAGTTCTGAGGACAGTTCTCAAGGTTGTCGGTTCAAGAAAAGATGCTCTATATTATTTCAAGTCTAGATATTTGAAACCCTAAGAAAGAGTTTTCCTTTGCTGTGATATCTTTTTCATAACATTGAGGCTCCACTGTAGAGGGATAATGGCTTTTTTAGTGAACAAAAATGATGGAGACAATTTTTGTTTGAGAAACTTCCTAGTCCTAGTAATGTAAGAATATATGCAGAGCTACCAAAGAGAGGAGGTTAGTTGATAGGTTGTTAGTTCTTAGTTGAGGAAAAGCTGGGGTTTGGGCTTTGCTAACACGGCTGTTCCACACACCTGCAACCCTTTGAGTAAAGAAATTCCTCCTGGTCTGAATTTTAAAGGCAAGTCTATGGAGTTTCCTTTGGTTTTGTCTCACTGTTCATTCTGAACCGGGTGGACTTTGTGAAGGCAATGAGGATTTGAATACCATACTTGAATTTATTCCCTACATGGTGAACTCTGCTTAAGACAAAACAAATATTCAGTTCTTTCAGCCTGTTGGTGTAGTGCATTAACAGATAGAATTTTAAACCCCTTGATTTAAATTCTAAACTTTGAACTGTATATCCTAAAAGGTTTGTTTGCCTTTTTACTGCTATCCCACATCGTCTAGAAGATGTGCTGTAGATGATGAAATATTTTAGATATGTACTATATAATATCAGTTTTTTGTGTGCAGTACTAATTGCTGTGTGTTGAGTGCATTGAATATGTTTTTTTTCCTGTTTCAATGAGCAAAACATTGTCTCTCAGATTCTGTGAAAGAGATGCAGTGGTACACAGGGCTCTCCAAGATTAAACAGTTATGAGTTATTATTAAATGTTATTACATGCCAGATTAGGTTTCCTCGTTGTTACCACTATTATTTAAAAGCAGTAGACAATTGTTGTCCATCCCCATAAAACTGGGTCGTGAACATGGAAGGGCATGTTATAAATTGCAAGAAAAAAGAAAGACACTGTGCTTAAACCTACCACACGTTACAATGAAAAAAGGCCTGAATTTGGGAATACACAAACCAAGAGACGCAGCCAGTGCAGTTTCTAGGAACGGCCTAGTTTTACGAGCAAGGGAGCTTCTGTTCAGCTTGTGAAATTCATTTTTCCATCTTTCTGTAGCCAAACAGGCGATTAATCATGGAGCATCTGCGCTCCATCCACGTTCTGTAAATACGGAGAATGGCAATACTGCCCACATGGGAGAGGACACTCCAGTTCAAACAGCACTGGGGCACTTGCTTGTTTTTCTTGTTGCAGATGTCCATGGTGAAAGGCCTTTCATGGACTCCTAATGAAAAAGCTGATCTAATTAGAATAGGGCCCAGTTAATGTCTTAAAGAAACGGTAAAAGAGCAGACTATATCAGCGGCCCTTTTGTGTCGTCTCAGCTTGCTCCCATTACACGTGCTGCTTGTTCTGATGGTGAGAGTGATCGCTGATGTTTGCCATCATTGATAACTATTGACTGATGGAGGGAGTCAGGCGACCATCACTTCGATACCTCTAGTTTCTAGAACAGCCGCTAGACAGCGTAGGATTATTGATTTGGAGCACCTAGAGTCGATCGCAAGCATGTTGGTTTCAGCTTCTTTTCGTTAGTCACTAGTGTTTCCCTCCTTCGTAGGCCCTTAAAAGGCCTGCAGTGCCTAATGGAAAATCCAGCACTGGGTGCTACAGTAGGACTAGCTGCTGATTATCAGGGAAGAAGAGCCTGTATCGATCAGAAACGAGCAGCACCGAATTCCTGGATCAATGATGGATGCATCATTCGATGTTTTAGGTTATGATCTGGAGCCATGTATCAAACACAACTGAAGATTTGCCTTGTGTCATGCCATATAGGCTGGAGAGGCTGAAGTGGGAAATTGCATCAGTGTGCTCACTTCCTTTGCATATATAAAGCCCAAGTCATTCCTCTGACTGAGTCATTAAATAGACTGTAATATTATTTATCTGGTTCCACCCTGTGTGGGTGTGGGTGTGTTCATCCCTCACCTTGATTTAGTGTAATAGTTCTGTTGAAATTTGCCTCCGTGCATTGCATGCAATGTAAAGTAAAGGTGCCTGTTTTTGTAATCAGGGGCATAAACACTTTGAGTTCATTCCCAAACTCATCTTTCATGCCTTGGTTCATTGCTTTTAAAGCTAAGTCACATTATTGTTTGTGCCCTGAGTCATTATTGTCTTTTTTTGTCAGCTCAATTGTCCATTGTCGCATGCTACTTTGGGATGCCTCTCTTTTGCAAAGTGAACTGAGCCCTGAACCACGGACAGCACCTTTGACAGCATGAAAATAAACCCCTCTCCTCTTCAAAAGGCTTGAGGGGTCCCAGGGTTTGGGCTCTCCGATTTAATGGGAGATTATGAAGTGCAGGAGTGCTGTCTGTGCGGGAGCCTCCAGGGTTAGCTAAATAAGACCCTGGGGGCAAAAGTCAGGTAATGAGAGGGGAGGAGAGGATGGGAGTCTGGGCAGTTTTGGCAGGAATGTCACGTTCGGGTGTCCTCTTCCCTCCCTGGGAGCACAGACGGGGGTCGTTCTCAAAGCTCCCTGGGTGTCCCAATGACTGGGATCCCAGACAGGGACACAGGTCCGGGTTTGAGCCACGGAGTCAGTCTGGCTGAGTGCTTCGTCACCTGTTGTCTTCAGCGGCTCCTGTTTGTCACCCAGTGACCTTCCTTCCCATCATTCCCTTGACAAGCCCAGACCAGGGCTGGACTGCCATGTGTTTTACTGCTTATCCTCAAATCCTTATTTCTCAGACAGCCACGGATTTGTGGACCTTGTAATGAGAAAGAAAGAAAAAAAGACACATCTTCATGTCTTGAATGGCAGAAATATTTTTAAAAAATACTGAAAGTTATTTAAAACTCAATGAATACTATTGGTTACAATACCCGTTTGCTGTATCTTTAATGTTTCTCAGTGTGTCAAAAATATTTAATATTGTAATAGGTTTATTTGTTAGATTATTCAATAAGTAATTTACAAATCTATTTACTATTATTATCTCGTACTTCACTGTTCTATGTTCCCTTCTGTCAAAACACCAGTAAAATAAAACAGATTTGTTCCAGATATTTGAAGGATACATAAAAAATAGTCATTTTTTTTGTTACGCAGTACCAAGCATGACCTGCAAAAATACATTGTACTATATGTACATTACATGAACAGAAGCAAAATGCTAAAAATATTTTAAAAGAATTTAGAATACTTTTCACTCCATACTGATGCCCATCATTGAAACCCCAACACCTCACCTTCCAGTTTAAGCATTTCCCATAAACTCTGCCTTACCAGCTGCACAACAGAAAAGAAAAGACAATATCCAGGACAAAAAATTGCAGAAGAAAGTGTTTCTTGTAAAATTCAGAAGAAGGAAGATTGGCTTGAACGTGTCTTACCATCACAATGTTCAATCTGTTTCTCTTTCAGAGATGCCCACTGTGGGGCTGGACACTGACAGTGACTTTCTTACTCGGCAGTCCCAAGATATGTCAACATACCTGAACAAAAGTGACAAGGTCTGTACTGCTGAAATAGGAATTGTCACCTGGTTACAGCATTGAATGCTGCATCACTGTGGTGCTGACTGAAATGATATAGTACAAACCTCCCATTCAGACCTGCACATATCAAAACAGAAGAATCTACCCCAAACTACTTCCATACATTAAATGCCTGTTTGTAAAAACTGAATCTCCTATAATGATGAAAAATGTGAGATCATAAACATAAACATAAATTAGTAGATAATGTAAATAAATAGTCTAGCCCTATGGGAAGCTAGCAATTAATTGATCTAGAAATCTCAGCCATTCTTGAAAGAAAGCAAGGTTTCAGCTTCAATGACATGCCTGGGATGCTAGTGCCCTGCTCCTACAACTCTTTGGGTAAAGGGCCTCCTGATCTAAGTTTTAAATGCATGTCCATGTAGTTTCCACTTGTCCCCTCTGGCTTGTGTTTTATTAAAGAATGTGCGTGAGTCCAGATTATGTTAATTGCTGTGTAGAAGTTGGAGTACTCAGAACAGGCCAGTGTCAGAACCTTCATGAACTTTAATGTAAGTAGTAGAATTCTGTGTATTATTTTAACTGCTAGTACAGAACAGGGATGCCAGGAATGATGTTAAATGCTCATAAAATGTAGTTTTCCTTAACATTAGCGGTAGTTAAGTTCTATACATTTTCTAGACTATTTGGAGCAGTAGGAGGAATATAAGCAGTCAATAGAAAGAAAATAGGAAAATACCCTGTTAACCTTTATAAAAGTGAGTATGGGGCCAAGACTTGTGAGCTAGCCCAGCCTCAGTTCTATCAGTAAATTATATGGTTAAATGGACAATGAGAAATCTTGTCACATTTCATTTGCAAATGACATTTGTTGCATCAGTGTTTTTCAATTCATATTACCATGTAAGGACCCCAAATAATCTTAAAACTGCTATTGCTTTTGCACTTTGTGAATTTCGGTCTTTTTATGTTACGTTTAGAGCTGTATCTGCTCTGCTTTGTGCTCTTGCATAGCTGTTTTAGTATTTATTGTTGGAATCTTTTATCCTAAGTGACTTATATTTGTACCCATTTTGCCAGTTGGGTATTTTTACTGAAGCAGTCTGAGTGAACCATCTTGGTGAAAAGTGCACCAGCCAGAAATGTCATCCTAAAACCTTCATGTTCCAGAAGCCTTATTACCACCCGGTATAAAAAGACATCTTCAGGGTGTAGGAGTCATTCTGGGCCCTAGACAGAGGTTCATGGGATCTTTTTTTCTTCACAGGTTATTTATAACAATTTCCTGGCAACAACAGGTCTAAACACCCAAATCATGTTTTAAACTTAAATTCATAAACAGTACTCCATGCCACAATAGTTGAACCAGCTTGACGGTACCAAGTTTAATGTTCCATGTGCTTAGTTTTCCTTAATTGGGTTTGTTTTCCAGAGATTCATCAACAGGCATTAAATTATTTTGAACACCACAATTAAATACCACCCAGGACACAGTGATGCAGACAGTTTGATTTGATTCTGCATTGCTTATTGCTGGTTGACTTTGTGTTATCATTCCATTAAGGTTCTGTGTATAATTTGCTTTACATAACAGTTAAGCAGTGTTGTCCTCTATTTGTGATGGCAACAAGGACTTATAAATACTTCATTTCTTTCCCCCAACACAATGTCAAAACTTACGACCTTATTTGAGGTTTGATGGCTCTTTAAGTATTCATATATTCTACTGAGGTTTTAAATTTACGATTTATAAATGACTAGTCCTGAGACAAACAACAAATAAAATAGAAGTATATGGGCAAATTATTCATGGATTCAGCTCACCGTGCTACTCCATTAAAATATGCAAAGTACAGAAATCTCTGCGAATACCAAAATATAATAGCATTCCCAATAATTGAACCAAAAAACTCTAGAAATATAAAATAAAGTGTTAGTGGTTGAAGAATTACTCTTCTCTATTGAGACATCCTCTAGATGTCAGATTTTACCTTGAATTATCCCACATCTTTCATACGCAAATTCATACTTAACCGGCTGCAATGTTTAGAATTGAACGTTTAAAAATTCAATAGATGCATCCTCTTCACCACTCACTGTTAAAATTAGTAGGAGGCTGTACTATTGCTTTGAATAGACAAATACTGAAGTGCATCATGAACAACAAAACCAATTGATACGGACTGAGGTTTTATTCTTTTCTTCCTTTTTTCACTGTAGATTGAGGCTGGCGAGAACGGACATGAAGGCCACAAGAAATCAGGAGAGAGGTCCAATCCTGACACTAGTGACCGAGTAGACCGGGTACTAGTGAGTGTTTTCTTCACATTATAGTACATCAGGAATATGGCAGCTATGAGCTTTGTGGTCCATTACTCATTGTGTTTTCACTTCAAACTGAGGTCTTAATTCCCCTGTTGAATTCATTATTAGTTGAATTTGTCAGGTTACTAGTCAATGACTTGGGATCCTGCAAAGTCTGCTGTAACCACCTGTTGTTACAGAATCAGCTTTCTAGAGTTGGCTGATTTCCACAGAGCAAAGGAAAACCTGTTGGCATGTTTCTCGCTGCTCCAGCACCGCCGTCTGTCAGAGAGCCACTCTTCTTTTCACACACAGAAAGCTCTGCAGGGGTGTTACCTTCACTTCCAAACATAAAAAAAAACAAAATTCACAACTTCAAAACAAAGTTCACAAATAAAAATAGGTATTCCATTAACTAGCCCATTTGGTAGGTAGTACTTAATTGATCCGAGAAACTCATGCAGCCATTTCTTGAAGGAAACCAAAGTACAGGCTTCAGCTACATGGCTGGGTAGCTTGTTCCATGCTCCCACAACCCTTTGTGTAAAGAAGAATGCATTTCTGCATAGTTTACACTTGTGTCCTGTGGTTCACGGTTCACTGTCAACTCTGACTGGAGGAGAAGCATGTCTCTCGCTGACGTTACTGCAAGCCTGCGGTTTCACTCCTATGAGAAGTCACAGAAGTTGCTGTTCTGCTGGACTCTGAGAGGACTGTGGCCACCTATCCCAGAAAAAACCCCACCAATGCCAACTGGGGGAGTCCAATACTCAGTCAGCTGGTGACATGACACAGGTGCAAATCAGTGAATTCTGGGCCATAGTGTCCAGCCAAGGATTTGAGCAAGATCCTGAATTTCTTGACTCATCAGCCTTTCCACTTCGGGGAAAGTTTTAAGAGTACTGCTGACTCCCCACCATAAAAAAACTGCAAAGATTACTTTGCTGAGAAAGACATATCAACAATATTTTCAGGTGGGTCAACATGCATAACAATATTCTCAGTATATTTCTCCAGGTCAACTGAAGGACTGTCATAGCTAGTTAAAAACACTGTGGAAAATGTAATAGCATTTTAATGCCAAGCAATCGGTTTTAAGACCTGGAGTATGTCTTACATCAATCTCCATACAGTATGTGGGCTTACAAAACCACTTCTGTGACAAACAAATCTCGAACGTGGAAGCTGGCAAAGGCATATGGGAATCTAACCCTCAACATCGCCCCCTTTTGGTGGTTGTGGTGTAAATGTCAGGTTTCTGTGTGCTTGATTTGCAGATAAAGGACAAGGAATCCAACCGGAACTTCAGGAAAAACAAACTGGTAAAACCCTAATTAGGCTTATTAAATCTTAATAACCGGCAAATATTTTTTGGGGGGTAGTTTTACAAAACTAATTCTGTGAACTTTGTTTTTTACAAGTGAGCCTATAGTCAAGCTGTCGTTTCTGGGTCTTCTCAGGTCAACCATGAATGGGCTAATCAGCATTTACAGAAACCTGGAAAGATGAAACCACATGAGGTTATAACTCTTTATACTCTATTACTGTATGTACAGATTGCCAAGAAATATTTGTTGTACCTGTAAATTCCACCCTGAAAAGTACAAAGGAAAACCCATAATGTTTTGGCAGGAGAGTCTTCTTCAAGTGAGAGCAGTCTTGTTTTTGTTCTCTATTTTTACACTCTGGCTCCCCAGCAACCCAGAATTGGATGAAGTGTTTAGAAAACAGACAGATATTAGGAGAGTATTTTCATGACTTATATATTTATATTTTTTGGTCCATTTCCAAACCAAATCACCTAGACATCAGAATTATTGATAATACCATTATTTGGGGGCATTTTTCTCTCAATGTCCAGTCATAACGTATTTGTATTCTTGTTGATCTTTCCTTTCATAGTACTGGGACAGTAAAGGAAACAATGAAGCAAGTCAAAAGACTGCTGGGAAAATTCTACCCACAGGTAAAGGACAAGTTTCTAACTCGCCATGACAGCTTCTAGATTATTATAAGATTCCCTCTGCAGTTTCTAGCAATATCACACTTCCTTGTTCCAGAAGGCATTGCCAGCACTACTCAGACTCGACGTGTGGGAGACCCATTACAGAAAGCAAAGAAACACCCAGACGATGCGACATGCTGTAAGTGTCCAATATAAACCACCATTTTTTCAGTGTTTTCCAAGAGTTTCTGGCAACAGCAATACTAGTGAAAAGATTAATACACTTTCTTTAAAAGCCTTTTCTCTAGGAAGAATTCTCTAGGGAGTTGGGTAGCAGTGCTTGTTAAAACATTTCCTACGCAGCAGATAAGGAGTAAATGGGAAAATTAATTTTGCCAATAACTTTTGTGTAGGTCGGACTAGGAAAGGAAGGAATTTAACCAGAGCACAAAGTCGAAGTATAATTTATAAATCTAGCTAGTTAGATGTTACTTTTCAGTAAAAGAAAGCTTGGTCTACACACACACACACACACACACACACAAGAATGTGGGCTTTGATCTGAATTTCATTAAGTACTCTTCTGATTAGAGAAGAAGTACTGAGAACCTAGCAGCTAAGTAATGGGAGGATCTCATCCAGCTTTTCTTGAAAGAAACCAGAGTATCAGCCTTAACAGCATGACTGGGTAATTTATTTCTTACTATTTCATAGCGTCTCATCTCCTTCAAGAGGCAATCTCCATCATCATATCTGTTCAAAAACTCCATTTGATCAGACATGTTTTAAGGCATGGTTTGAAAGTAGGACTATATCTGGAAACATAGTAGGCAGTGTCAGATTACAATCTCATCTTTAGTTGTCAAATGAATGTGAATGTGAAGCACTTATCTACTAGATATGCTTTATCCAGATGAGGTCCCAATATGGATCTCCAGTTCAGTAGTATCCCTCA